AAAAAAAAAAAAAAAAACTGGAAGAGACCCCAATTTAAAAAATTTGGGTGGACAGGAAAAATGAATGAAAAAATGACTGGAATAGAGAGACTTGGAAGAAGTGTGAGAGTCCTTTCAGGAGCCTGATGCAGGAGATTAAGTTATTGCCAGGACTGTGGAGAGGGATGCACGTTCAGAGTGATGCAGTCAGCCACCGTCTTTGAGCTGGGCACCACTGTTTCCCACTCTTGGGAAGAGATTTGGTTGCTATGCGGTATGTATGCTGCCCTAAGAGGAGGTCAAGTTTCCAGCTGGCTGCAGCCTGTACCTTTTTTCTGTTCCAGTTATCACTCTTGTTCACCCAAATTTAAAAAATTAAGGTCTGTTATGGTATTGTTTCTTGGCCACGATTGACCCGGGCTGAGCCGGTTCGAAGCCCTGGTGCGCTCCTGTTTCTGGCCGCCGGCTCCAGGACATCTGTGCACTGGAGCAGGAAGAGCTTTTAGCATGTCCGCTCAGCTTTCTAACTTTGATTTCAGGCCCAGATGGCATTAGTGTGAGCATGGAGGCCATTCTTAGCTCAGTCTCAAAGGGTGAGATGTCACTCAGTATAGTCTGGGCTGCCAGCTGCCTCTGAAGTTGATCTTTCATCCTGTGGGTGGGAATCTTGAGAGACTTAATGATAGCCCACATCATGTGGCACTTTTAGCGTTGGCAGTGTGTTAGCATACAGTATCTCAGTAGACTGTTGTTCCTCCCAACCACCCTGTAATTGAGGCCACGCAGGGGTCATTCTCCTCTTTCCAGAACTGAAGGATTAAGTAACTCATTTGAGGTCACCCCAAGCTCAGAGGGAAGGCCTCAGTCTCAGGCTTTCCAACCCTAAAACCCACGTTCTTTCTCATCGTACTACACAGCTGCCTCCATACCAGCCGTGAGAAAGGCCAGGAAAGCACCTTTCAGCTTCTGCAGGGTTCATTTTCAAGGATCGTGTAGTGGGTGGGTGCATCCAGGGGTTTACCCGTTTGTTTTTTAGAAATAAAACAGGAGTCATTGTTATGTGTGGAGGAACGTGAAGTCCTCCTTTTGCCTGCTGGGATTCCTCTGCTTCAGCTAAGTGGCATGTCCCATCTGTCTCAGTGGCCACTGAAGGGAGGATGATGCGCATTCTTGCCCGACCCCACTTTTGAATACAGCTTAACACGTGGCTTGGTGCTGGTGAAGTAGGAGTTGACTTCATTTGGCCACATAGTCTCTCACTATGTCCCTAAACATGAAGCTTCTGCTGACTGTAAACAGTAGAGAGAAGAAAGGTGCCACCAAGGTTGTCAACTCTGGTTGGGGGAACTAGTTTTTGACTTGTGACAGTAATTCTGAGTTAACACAATTGCTGGAATAAGGGGAGTCAGAAATACTTCTCTGTGTGTGTGTGTTGGGGGGATATAAACAGGACCCATGAAATGTGAAGTTAGCAATCCCCAGTTGTAACAGAGTAAAGGTAGTCCCAGCTTTATGATGTAGCCATTTTATAAGGAACCATGCTTCCGACCCACCACACTTAGAATCCTCTCTTTTTGGTACACCTCGTTAGAATGTACTATATACAATGTTAAAATGGATCTGCAGGTTTACATGTAATGTTTACAACCCCTAGAGTCAAATAAAGATGGGATTTATAAAGGTACTGATAATAAAAGAGAAAAATAATGGGGGGAAAAAAAAATTGGTGTATGACTTGCATCAAAAGTAAGTTATGGCTGTATGAAAAGTGAATTTACTCTGTAAATCTTCACCCAAATCCTAATAAAAAAAAAAAAGTAAGTTATGCTGGAATTGTTGGGACGGAACCCTGTCATAAAGGGGGTCGTCCCCCGTCAGGGATACCTGAATTAGGAAGAACATTATTTTACGCTGTTTCCCCATCCTCCAGATGTCTTCCCATTCTGGAGATACTGGGACCCCGGGTGGTGCCCAGCTGTTCATGTCGCTCCTGTATACAGGACGTAGGAGGTGGAGGCAGCGGCAGCATTGGGAGCACTGGCCTGACCCGAACCACATTGCCATCCTTTATCTGGGTCAGCCCAGGGTTCTGCCTCCAGAGGAAATGTAGTATTTGGAGATAAGGGGCATTTCTGTTGGAATGACTTCATGGTTGCCAAGGAGCAAGTGTGTGCTCGCCTCTCGTGACCACTGTGTGGGGAACCCAGTGGCCCCTGTGCCGGTGAAGAGGCCAGCTGCTTCTGTAGTAGGTCTGTGAGCTCTTTTTTGGTGGCCATACTTTTAATCTCCCATTGATCTGATGACTGTTTCTCATTCACAGCCGAGTCCGTCAGTGTTCTTTGTGCCCACTCTTGGTCGCACAGTGCCAGCCTCACCTGAGCTCGTTGTACTGCTGCCACGCCTTACCCCAGGAAGCAGCGTCTGTCAGGTGGGAGCATCCACGGAGCATCTGCGTCTCTAGACCTTCCTCACATATGGACTGGTAATTACAGCTCCGCATGCAAGGTGTCCATGTTCTTTTGAGGTGGTGGGTTTTTTTTCCTTGCCAGAGATAGGTAGAATAAGGACCAATTTGATTAGTTTAAGCTAAAGCATGGTATAGGAGATGCTGGATGCAAAAGGTTAATGTGCTTCGCTGCTAACCTAAAGGTTGGAGGTTCAAGTCCACCAAAGGCACCTTGGAAGAAAGCCCTGAGGTGTACTTCTAAAAAATCAGCCACTAAAAACCCTGTGGAGCAGAGTGCTGCTTTGACACCCCTGGGGTTGTCATAAGTCCGAATCAGCAGCTACTGGATTTAAGCATGACTGAGTACAAAGAGCATCATATTAGGAGTTGGGAGTGCTGAGGTCTGGGTTGACACAGCCAGTCCATTTCTCTGGGACCTCTGGCCTGTTACCTCCCTGTATGTGAAGTGATGAGATGGGATTCAGTGAGCCTCAAGGCCCTTCTTGGGCCTGTCTAATGGGTCCACATGTAGTCTGTGTGGGGGTAGAGAAGGTATATGAATGGTGGGCTCCTTCACTCTTAATACAAAGAAGGATTGACAGGTCATTGTGGGTGTGTGCCATCAAGTCCATTTTGACTCATAACACCCCCATGTGACAGAACGGCCCCATAGGGTTCCCTAGGCCGTAATCTTTATGGAAGCAGAGTGCCAGGTCTTTTCTTCCATGAAGTTGCTGGTGGGTTTGAACCACCAGCCTTTTGCTTAGCAGCAGACCATTTAACCACTGCGCCAGTAGGTTGCCTTTGGACAGTGAGGTTAATCCTTCTCTAAAAGATTATGGGGAGGTTTTCCCACAAGAAGCATGATCAGTTCTCCCTCTCATCCAGATCCATCACAGACAGTATGTCTCCTGCTAGACCTGGAGCACATATAGCTGGAGCTCGCTGGCTACCCTGGACTTGTTGGGGGCTGGGAGGCTGGCCTGCTGGCAGAGGGAGGGCAGGGCTGGATTTTGAGTGACACCCCACCTGCCTTGGTGACGGCTGTGCTCTGCCTTCATCCTCAGGTGAGCAATGGCAGGCGCTGGTGAGCGCAAAGGCAAGAAGGAGGACAACGGCATCGGCACAGCCATCGATTTTGTGCTCTCCAATGCCCGGCTGGTGCTGGGGGTGGGGGGAGCAGCCATGCTGGGCATCGCCACGCTGGCGGTTAAGCGGGTAAGTGCCCATAGCCAGGGCCGGGGATGGGAGTGGGGGGGAGGCAGCTCAGCACAGTGGAGGGAGGTTGGCTATTTGGCATTATTGGGTAGAAATTGAAGAGAATGCAGCAATTCTAGGACTCTGCCCTAAAGAAGTTTTTCCTAGTGAGTTACTCCAAGTAACCACAGATCCTTCCCCGAGTATAAATAGCATCATTTTTAGACAGCTGTGGAGATGGAGTTTTTTCTCTGCCTCTAGGCTCCCAGAGCTAGGTCAGAGCTCACACGTTATAAGGACGTTGTCCTTTCATCTGCCAGATAGGCAGACACCAGCTGCAAGCTTGGGGGTCCATACGACATCCTCACTTCTCGCCAGCTGGCTATAAATTTGGGGTTCCTTCTATCCCTTCAAGGTACTGGCCACAGGCTTAGGAGTCCTCTCAGACTTTCTCACTTTGACTTGCTGGCTTCCACTACTGCTTTGGGTTTAATAATTCACTGGAACAATCTACAGAAGAGCTAGCTACACTTAATGTTTAGTTTTATTGCAGGAAAAAAGGATACAAATGAAGAGGTGCGTAGGATGAGGTCTGGGAGGGCCCCAAACATGGAGCTTCCCTGTCCCAAGCCATGTCCTACCCTCCTTTGAGCGTCTGTATATTTCACCAACCAAGGTGGCCATGGAGCTTCCCTTTATTACATAGTCACTACTGATTGGCTCATTGGCTCAGCCTCTCCCTCCCTTGAGGTCAGCTGACACCAGACCAAGTGCTAGCTTTTCAGGTCAGGCCCAGCCCCACTCATAGCACAAACCTTTCTTTTGATAACAAGAAAAAGACAAAAAAAAAAAAACCCACTGCCATTGAGTCAAGTTCGACTCATTAGTGACCCCTACTGGGTTTCTGAGGCTGTAAATCTTTATGGAAGTAGATTGCCCCATCTTCCTTCTGCAGAGCGGCTGGTGGATTTGAACTGTTGACTTTCTGGTTAGCAGCCAAATGCCTTACCCGCTATGCCACCAGAGTTCCCTTTTTGATAACAAAGGCACAAGGTACTTTAAATACTCAGGAACTAGGACAGAAATCACATAACTTGAGGGAAAGTAATTCTTCACCCCACGGCTACCTTATTTGAAGCAGAAACACCTTCCCCCCCCCACACACACACTTCCATTTCCCTTTCCTACTTCATTTTTCTTAACCCTTGTCTCGATCTACATATTATATATTTAACTTGTGTATCATTTATTGTCTATATCCCCTACTTGACTGAAAATTTGGTGAGGGCAGGGATCTTGGGCTCTTTGGCTTCCTGGTTTATTCTTAGCACCTAGAACAATGCCTGGTGCGTAGCAGCCATTCAGTCAGTATTTCTTGAATACGTGGATCAGGGTTTAACATTATGACACATGCATAAGACACAGTGCTGCACGGTCAGCAAAGTGATGCATCCTTAGTGACACAGGGAAGTGATCAGACTGTGTTAGATGAAAAACTCAAGGGTCCAAAGTATACCAGAGAATGATCCTAACTACATAAACGTGTGTGTAAAGAAAGACACCAAAACGTTCATACCAGTTCTCTCCAGGCTGGGCTGTTCTGGATAAATTTGTTTTTCCTCTGTACTATTTAGTACTTCCTGACTTTTCTACCCAGAAGTATTGTGTAATCTAGGAAAAACCCAAAGTTAACTGAAAAGTGGTAGTTGACCTGGCTCGGGTAAAGCTGCTGCTGGGGAGGGAAGCTGGAAGGCAGAGGAGCGTGGGAGGAAGGTCTATGTCCGTGTCCTCTGCTGCTGCAGATGTACGACCGGGCAATCAGTGCCCCCACCAGCCCCACCCGCCTGAGCCATGCCGGGAAAAGGAGCTGGGAAGAGCCAAACTGGATGGGCTCCCCCCGACTGCTGAACAGGGACATGAAGACAGGCCTGAGCCGGTCCCTGCAGACCCTTCCCACGGACTCCTCGGCCTTTGCCACAGGTGAGAATGGTGGTTAGTTACCTCTCCTGGGACTCACCTTGGGCTTTCAGCACTGCTCCTGCTTTTGATAAACAGGTTTGAATACCTGTGTGCTGGGCCCGTGCTAGCACAAGGCCGCCTTCTTTCTGGGGCCGAGGCGGCTGTGGACGGAGCTCACGTGCCTCTCTCTCTTGCCTTGGCAGATACATTCTGCCTACCCCGGCCCAAGGCATTGGCCAAGAAGGGCCAGGTAGACTTGAAGAAGTCACGGCTCCGCATGTCCCTGCAGGAGAAACTTCTTACTTACTACCGGAACCGTGCAGCCATCCCTGCTGGTGAGCAGGCTCGGGCCAAGCAAGCCGCCGTGGACATATGTGCTGAGCTCCGGGGCTTTCTGCGGGCCAAGTTGCCTGACATGCCTCTTCGGGACATGTACCTGAGTGGCAGCCTCTACGATGACCTGCAGGTAAGTGACAAGGTGTTCTCACTACGGGTGGGCTGGGTGCTGACCAGGGTGTTCCTCAGTGGTGCTGTTGGTACAGATGTGTCAGGAAGACTGACATCTTCGGCTCCTCGGCCCCCACACACTGCATCTGCAGAGCCACACTTGTTATTTTGCTTTTGTGTCTTCTATAACCTTTCTTGTTTTTTTAGTCACACTTACCTCTTTTTTAAGGAGTTGTAAAGTCTCCTCTTTCCATATCTTTCCCCCATCTCTCCTTTCTAGTTTTCTCTCCTCTTGAGTCTCTTTCATGGCATGGGGGCATTATGTGCACTTTAGGCTCAGGGATGATGTGGTCTGGTGGGATGCACCATCTCCGGGGTCCTCACTCTGTGTGGATTGATAGTGTTAGGAAAAATTTCCTAGTTTCCTTTCTTATTGGAGTGAAGGTGGGATCTGTGTTTCAGGAAGCATGTCTCTTTAGTAGATTGAATCCCTCCAAACCTTTTTAATTCTTCTGCCTTGATAGGTGGTGACAGCCGACCATATCCAGCTCATTGTGCCCCTTGTCCTGGAGCAGAACCTGTGGTCATGTATCCCTGGTGAGGACACCATCATGAACGTCCCTGGCTTCTTCCTGGTTCGTCGTGAGAACCCAGAATACTTTCCTCGTGGTAGCAGTTACTGGGACCGCTGTGTAGTAGGGGGCTATCTCTCCCCAAAGACAGTGGCAGAGACATTTGAGAAGGTAGTGGCTGGCTCCATCAACTGGCCAGCCATAGGGTCCCTCTTGGACTACGTGATCCGACCAGCCCCACCCCCAGAGGCTCTGACACTAGAAGTACAGTATGAGCGGGACAAACATCTTGTCATTGATTTCCTGCCATCAGTGACCCTTGGTGACACTGTCTTGGTGGCCAGACCACACCGACTAGCCCAGTATGACAACCTGTGGCGGCTGAGCCTGCGTCCTGCTGAGACAGCCCGCCTACGGGCTCTGGACCAGGCTGACTCGGGCTGCCGCTCTCTGTGCCTCAAGATCCTCAAGGCCATATGCAAGTCCACTCCTGCCCTGGGCCACCTCACTGCCAGCCAGCTGACCAACGTCATCCTCCACCTGGCCCAGGAGGAGGCTGACTGGTCTCAGGATGTGCTGGCTGACCGTTTCCTGCAGGCCCTGAGGGCGCTCATCACCTACTTAGAGGCGGGGGTCCTGCCCAGTGCTCTAAACCCCAAGGTGAACTTATTTGCAGAGCTCACCCCTGAAGAAATAGACGAATTGGGATACACTCTATATTGCTCATTGTCTGAGCCGGAGGTGCTGCTGCAGACGTAGTAGGGCAGGTGAAGGCCAAAGTGGGTATTGAGTGGTCAGGCCCTGGATTCTCCGTTAGAAACACTTGGCGACACGGGTCGTTTCTCACGGGATTCCTAGGTGCCTCCTGTCTTGCTGGTCATTGCCCTGATCACGTCATGCTAACTTGAATGCCATCTCCTCAGTCTCCTATTTACTCACCGACCCTTTCTATTTTTGTTACCAAACACTGTGCTCCCTACACCTCCCCGCTCCCGCCAGGCTATGCTTCCTGAGTGAAGACTGGCAGAACGCCGGCCCGCACTGGCGAGCCCAGCGGTGTTCTGTGCTTTGGCCCAGGGCCCTGCTGCTGTCTGGCCTGCTCAGTCCTGGTGCCTGTTTGCCAGTGTCTTGTCTTTGCCATCCTTTCTTCTTGTTCTCACCTTCTCTTTGGCACTCTTCCCTGTGAGTGTCTCCTTAACCAAGATGCTGCTTCTAGTTGGGTGTCATTGAGAGCTATGGTTGCATGTTTCCTAGCAGTGCTCATGGGAGCGCTGACACAGTATTGTTTCTTGGGGTCACGCGCGTGCTTTCCCCTTACCTCCTGATCAGCCCATTCCTGAGTGCTGGGAACACCTCGAGTGCCCCGCGCAGGAGAGAGGGCCCAAGATAAACTGGACGCAGAGTTATCTGGAGATGGTGGTTCATAGGGGCCATCAATGAGAGAGTGGCATGGGGGCACTGGAGGTGGTGGAGAGGGTTTGTCTCCCATCCGTGACTGGTGCAGGCCCGCATGGCTGTGTGTGTGGATCAGACGAAGATGAGAGGAGGTGGCCAGGGCAGCACCTCACCAAGAAGGCGTTCTTCATCCCTTTGCTCGCCTTCTGCCAGTTGGGATGAGCCCTTTAAGGAATGCGGCCTTAGTAGAGGTTGAAGGGGTCCACAGGAAGCTGAATGTCAGCTGGGAAATCCAATCGCCAGTGGAGGCCCAGTGGCTGTTTTCCCCCAAGGGGCCTGCCTTCCTCAGATGTTGCCTTAGTGCAAGAATAGGCCCGATAGCCAGCCCTTCGGCCCCAGTGTCGGCCATAGGAACGGGAGGGGGTGTTGGCTGAACGCTTCTGGTTCCTCCAGAGGCCAGAGGCCAGCCAAACGTGCAGACCTCTTTCCCGTGTCCTGTGTCTCGCCCGCACCTGGGAAGATGGTGCTACCTAGATGAACACATGGATACAAGAGAGAGTGGGGACTTCGTCTCCTCCTTTCCTGCTGCTAAACTCACAGTTGATTGCTCTGGCAGCACTCCGGGGAGGAGTGTTAAGTACGCCTGTCTGTGTGTCTTGTCTTGTGGGAGGTTTAGCCTGTTTGTGGTGAGAGGCTGATGAACTATTTCTCAGTATTTCATTCTCTTGTCAGATCTTGTTATTTCCCTATTCTTGCTACCTCTCTGTCAGCAAGAGTCTAAGGAAGTTCGGCAGCTATCTCACTTCTTCCCCAACAACAGTGACTTGAAATGACTAAATTGCATGGAAGCCTCCCTCTCTGCATTTGGGGTAGTGATGCCTGCCCCTTTTTATCATAGACCAGGAGGTTAAGAACTAGGGTCACCCTTGCTTTTTCTTCCTGCCTTTCTCCCATTTATATGCAAGGGTGCCTCAAGGTGGCTCAGTTGTTTTGTCTGTGAGGTACTGAGAGAATGAGAAAGATCAAGCTCGGAATCTTGAGGGAGATTCCAGTGCAGGGATTTGTCCCCCTGGCTGTTGAGCAGAGTAAAATGGGAATTAAAACCGTAAGTGAGCCCCAGTTCCCCCAGGGGGATTAGTGCAGTGGGCGTGAGTGAAGCCTGGACCGTGATGGCGCCACGGACCCACCTGGTGTCCATCAGAGGGAAGGGAAGGGAGGGCCGGTGGAATGGTACAAAAGCAGGCATTTGTTGTTGCTGAGAGATGATTTGGTTTCCCTGTTGTGTTACAAAACCTACAATTTGCCGAACTCCACAGAAAACATTGGAAGGAGAGTTTGAAAAAGAAAGGATTTTTAGGACCAAGTTCCAAGTTTATCAAAGCCAAGTGTTGAGTTGACGTCCTACCTTGAGCATCTTTTAAGCATCTCAGCTTCGAAGCACTTTGATCACAAAATTAAAGCTGTAGTTGTGCCATTTTACAAGCAAGAACCCTTAGAAGTCCTGAGAACTTCAGCACATGGACTGCTCAGGCCTGTCCCAGTGGTTTGCTAATTGTGACTGGCAAGCCACTGTTTGCTGCCATTTTCTTCCTCATAAAAGGTGGGAGACAGTTAAGTGCATTGAGATTGTCGGATGGGAGAGGGCGGCATCATTCTGCCTTTTTTTCCTTTTAAACTTTGGGAAAGGATCCTGAGCTTTCCCTTTCGTGCTGCCTTTTTGCTCAGTTGCTCCCACCTTTGCCTGAAAGAACAGCATCTGCTCCTACTTCTCTCTCTCCAGTTGGTTGGGACTTTTATTTTTTAAATTAATCTCAAAACTCATGTTAGGTAATGGTGTTCACACTCCCAAATTAGCCGATTTTGCTCCCTTGTCCTCCACTGAAGAGCTCAGGTGGTTTTGATGAGGAATCAGCTTCAAGGTCAAAGGGCCCTGGAGGGACCCAAAATAGGGAACCTTTCGTGTGTTGGGTTTGCTCTGTTGAGGTCCTTGGTACTACGGCCCTGTCTGTGAACTTCTCTCAGAGGATTCGTGAGAGCTCTGCCCTTCCTGAGGTTTAAGGACAAGGGTAAGAGTCACTTAGGCTGAGGCTGACCCTGGTACCAGACTGTGAGGCTATAGCTCTTTAGACACTGCTGACTGTAAGTGACCAGAATTCCAGGATTTTTCAGGGGTAATTAGGATGTGTTGCCCTTGTCTTTGTGATCACCTCATAGACTTTCAAGTCTTGGTTCTGAGACCAAGCCCACGACTTGCCTTCTAGTCACGTCTGCCCCTCAGTGGAAGTTGATGTTATAGCTGGTTGATATGGAGTCCACACCAGTCTCTCTGGCCTGTCTTGCCTAGGTCCACGTAGGAACAGCTCAGCCCTGTGATCCAGAGAACCACCGCTACCCTTTTTCTCCTTGAGGGAGGAAATAAAGCTGGGGCCATGATGCCCTTCCACTGCATGGGAAGAAGAAAATAAAATTATCCTTTCCAAAAGCTGTACCTTGTGTGTGTGGTAGGAAAGAAACGTTCTCCTGTGGGAGTGGTACTGAGTGTCTGTTTTCAGGGAGGAGAGCCTCTGAAGGACTTGACCTGGATCCAGCACAGAGTGGATGGGACGGGCTGGCACTGGAGCCAGAGCTAGGGCAGTGCTAAGACTTCATTCTCAGCGGTCTGCGTGGTCACCTGTCAGGAGGCAAGTCTTGTGATAGAGCAAGAGGTGGACTCACCCTCGGGGCCCTTAGTTATGGCTTTGGAAGACTTACATAACAGCCCGACAGCTTCTGTGTAGTTCAGCACTCGGGAGACCCCAAGGGGAAAGAAGAACCACTCTTCCGTCCCAGCATCAAGTTTGCCTCACCTGTCTCAGATGTTTCGTAGTTGGTCTCATCTGTTGGAAGTCCCCTGAGGAAGCAGATGATGGAGGTGTGGGGATGGGGGAAGCTGAGGTCAGAGATTTAAAAAACAAAACCAACTCACTGCTGTCAGTCGATCCCGACTCATAGTAACCCCCTCCTTGGGTTTCTGAGGTGGTATCTCCATAGAAGTAGATTGCCTGGTCTTCCGAGGAGTGGCTGGTGGGTCAAGATTAGAACTGAATTTGGATAACAGAATGGCAACCATTTACTAAGCGCATACCAAGGACCGCCATTGCACCTTCATCCTTGGGAGGATACATACCATCATTAGCCACATTTTACAGGTGAGGAAACAGAGAGGTTAAGTGACTTGGCCAAAATGTCCCAGCTAATAAATGGTGGGGCTGGGATTCTTAGGTTTGGCCCCCAAATCTACCTTCTAACCACTACCCAGGAGTCTTTGGGTGGTATAAATGCTTACTGCACTTGGCTGCTAACTGAGGTTGGAGATTCAAGCCCACCTGAGATACCACAGAAGGGCCCAGTGGTCTACTTTGAAAAATCAAAAACTGACTGGATAAACTCCTACCCCATGCTGCCTCTAGTGGGAGCTGTGTGATTTAGGCAAGATGCCTCAGCCCATGAGGGCTCAATTTACCATGGTAGATTTACCATTGTCAATCTTTCTTGTGCTAGATTGAATCAGGGCAACAAGTGGGTTGTAGGCCTCCGGGACAGGGCTTTCTGAATTTGTTGATGTCATAGCCCTTGTAGAAATGGTAGCTGCAGGGCCCACTGTGATGAAGAAGCCAGGCCACTGGCAGGCTGGAAGCCAAGAGTATCTCCACATACAGTCTGGTCCCCCATGAAGATGACGTTGCTGGCCGTGAGACCGCTGCTTCCAGACCAGATCCCACCGAGTGCACATGGTTCTCAAGGGTCTCTCCTCACGGGGTTATTAGGATGATTTGGAGGGAAATCGGTGAGGCCTAGGAATTACCCAACTGGGAGTTAATTGAAACGGTAGTAGAGAGAGAGAGGCCAGTTGAAAAGCCTGCCCCTTGTTCTTAAGGGGAATTGAGGCGACATAAACTTAAGACGTTCCGGGCAGATTTCATACTTTAACAGTTTAGCAGAATGGATACTGTAAAAATACACGTGAGGCTATAAGGTTATGTATTTGTCTTGCCACAACTTTGCAGGTTCAGGACGAGGACTCCGCACAGGCCGGCTCAGGTGATCTCTGAACTGAGGTTCCAAGACTAGCGCCTCTTGACCTCCCCTCTCAGGTTTTTGAGGTCTTAAACTTAGTGAATACATACTTGTAATATTTCTCTTCTGACCTGCAGGGAATCCACCAGGAGTGGGTCAGTAAATTATGCCTTGTACCCTGAGTGCTCTCAGCTCCCCAGAATTCATGCCATTACCTCAAAGCAATTTTAGGAAAAGTTAGCTTTTTTTTTTTTTTTTTAACCATCTTTATTTGCTACAGTAACAAATTTAAGATTCCCTGAGCATTCTGTGGGAAATTTTGTTAGGTGTTAATGGTTTTTCTGGTAGAGCGTCAGCCACTCGTTCTGGTAAGAGGTAACTTCGAGCATAGTGCCTAAGGCATTTGACTGCTAACCAGGAGGCTGGCGGTTCAAACCCACCAGCCCCTCCTCAGACGGCAGGTTGGGCAATCTACTTCCGTAGTGATACCGCCTCAGAAACCCAAGGAGGGTTCGCTATGAGTGGGGTTGAACTCAAGGGCAGTGAGGTTTTTGGTTTGTTTTTCAAGGTTGGAAGTCGGTATAAAAGGAAGAACAAAAGATGGGTAGAGGAATGTGGGGACTAAGAGTCCGGCTGGGCGCTAGTTCGTAGTATCAGTTGAAGGGGCCAGGCCTTGAGGACACTGGGGCGTACTGGGCTAGGGCTGCCCAGAGGCTGGAGCTGGCGCAGTCATGGCCGCTTGGCGGGCAGGGCTGCGGAGGCCACTCCACCACTTTCAAGAGTAAGGGCAGTTCAGGGGCAAGATGGGTAGCGGGAACCGCACTGACGTATACGCCCCTTCCCGAGCGGGCTTGGGCGCCGTCACCAAACAGCCCGCCCACCTCTGATACTGAGCCAGTAGGAACTCAAGATACGTATGACTCACCATACCCGGGCCAATCAGCTGAACGCGCACTCGTCGCCAGCATCTCCCGCGATAACCAGGCGGTCTCAGACTTTGCAATAAGAAAAAAAACCTTGCTTGGGAACGCCTTCTCTTCCCACCCTCGAGTTGACGCCGGAAGCAAGATGACCAAGAGATTCCTCCGCGCTTCCCAGCGCCGAGGGGAGTGACTGATCTTAGAAGCCTTGGAAAGTAGTGCGCTTTTTCTTTTCGTGAGCCTTGAAAGTAAGATATGTTTTTTAAATAGGTACGCCTTGGCCATAAAGGTCGTGGGTTAGAAACAATAAGAACGTCAGATACGCGAGCCTTGGAACAAGGCGGTGAAGGTCACGTGGTGACGGCGGAAGGACACAACTGTGAGGTGTCTCAAAGAGGCGGAGTCTATAAAGGGGCTGCGTAGGCGGCGCGGCCATTTTTCCTGCCGTTTTTAGATGTAGACAGTAGTTAGGAGCCCCGCGCCTTTCCTCCCCGCCCGCAGGGTCCGCAGCCGCCATGGCGTATTAGAGGCAGAAGTGCCTGCGGCAGCGTTGGCCATTGCAGCGGCGGCAGCAGCACCAGGCTCTGCAGCGGCAACCCTTAGCGGCTTAAGCCATGGCGTAAGTACTGGGGTGGGCTGCGCTGCCGGGGCGCCCGAGCCAGGCGGGCTCGGCGGTGTTGGGCGTGGCGCCGTGGTCTTTAGGCGTCGGGGAGGGGACAAGCGGTTTTACGAGGCGCCTGCGACGCGTGTGCCTTATTTGTGTGTCCCCGAGACGCTGGCGCGTTCGGTCATGAGGGTGTAGGTCGGTGCCGCGGGGAGAAGCCCTTGGCCGCCTCGGTGCCCTCTGGATCGAGTGTCCCACGTCGGTCACTCGAGGAAACGTGGCAGGAGCCAAGATGGCGGCGGGCGGGGCGATGGCTGCAGCTGGCAGGGGCGGGGCCTAGGCGGCGTGGCCGTATTTAGGCAGGTCCCGGTCTTCTCCCTGTGGCCGGATAAGGAAGAGAGTCCAGCCTGCGTGGAGGCGTCCATCTTGGGCAACCTGAGCCCGGACGCCGTGAAGGTTGACGCAGTGGTAACGAGGCCATGTGTTCTCGATTCATTGAAGCCAAGTGCAGTTCTGATCCGGCCATTTCGTCTCAGGTGAAAAAGATGAAATTCCCAGACAAGCCGGTCACTAATGGAACTTCATTCCTGACCCCTTTCAGGCTTTTCACGGCATTCAGCAGCAGCGTTGCTGTAACCGACAAAGACACCTTCGAATCAAACACATTCCTCGATTCCAGTAAAGTCCGGCAACATGGCCGACATGAGCTTCCTGAGCAGCGAGGTGTTGGTGGGGGACTTGATGTCCCCCTTCAACCAGTCGGGTTTGGGGGCTGAAGAAAGCCTAGATCTCCTAGATGATTACCTGGAGGTGGCCAAGCACTTCAGACCGCATGAGTTCTCCAGGGACAATGCTAAGGCGGGCTCCTCGGAATGGCTGGCTGTGGATGGGTTGGTCGATGCCTTGGACAGTGGCAAAGGTGAGTGACGTGTCTTTTATCTGCCGGTGTGGCCTGGCCTTTATCACGGTGTCACTTGGTGTCTGGAGTCTCGGTTGACCATAGTTGCCTTCTGTGTTTTGCAGAGGATGCCTTCTCCGGTACAGATTGGATGGTGCAGAAAATGGATTTGAAGGAGTTTGACTTTGATGCCCTGTTGAGTCTAGATGATCTGGAAACCATGCCGGATGAGCTTCTGGCCACGTTGGATGACACCTGTAATATCTTTGACCCCCTAGACCAGGAGACTAATAAGGAGCCCCTCCAGACAGTGAACCCAATTGGCCATCTTCCAGAAAGTGTGCCACAAACCGACCAGGTTGCCCCTTTCACTCTATTGCAACCTCCTCCCCATTCCCCAGGGCCCCTGGCCTCCACTCTAGACCACTCCTTTAGTTTGGAGCTCGGCAGTGAAGTGGATATTTCTGAAGGAGACAGGAAGGCAGACTCTCTTCCTTATGTTACAGTGGTCCCTCAGTGCATAAAGGAAGAGGATGCCCCCTCGGATAATGACAGTGGCATCTGCATGAGTCCTGAGCCCTACTTGGGAACCTACCTGGGGTCTCCGCAGCACAGCCCCTCCACCTCCTCCTCTGGGGGCTCTCCACATAGCCTACTGTCTCCACCTGTCCTCAGTGGTTCTGCCCGCTCTAAACCTTATGATTATCTTAGAGAGAGGGTGATGGCAGCAAAAGTAAAGGGAGAGAAATTGGATAAGAAACTGAAAAAAATGGAGCAGAACAAGACAGCAGCCACTAAATACCGCCAGAAAAAAAGGGCAGAGCAGGAGGCCCTCACTGGTGAGTGTAAGGAGCTAGAAAAGAAGAACGAGGCTCTGAAAGAGAAGGCAGAGTCCTTGGCCAAGGAGATCCAGTACTTGAAAGATTTGATAGAAGAGGTCCGCAAGGCCAGGGGGAAGAAAAGGGTCCCCTAGTTAGGGAGCCAGGAGGGTGTGCTTGTACATAGTACATAGGAGGCTTGCTCTGAAACTGTTGTAATAAATTATTTTGTAGTCAAAGTACTTATTTGTGTGTCTGGTTTCCTACCTCCTGACTTGAGCCCACTTGTGAACTCTACTCTGGTCCTGCCATATGAAACTAGGGGTGGGGATTAACTCATGGGAGTTGATAAGGCTAATGATGTCTCCCTAGTTGTGGATAGGAAGTTAGGCTCAACAGCTGGTGGGGTGTTTCCCTTAGAACTGTTTGTTTTCCAGTAAGAACTGGGGTGGGGCTGGGAGTTCTGATGGTGGTTGGGAGGGCAGACTTGCCTGGTCTCCACCTGCTCATGACTGGCTGTATGCCACCATCTATCATGAACTATTCAGTGAGGTCAGCCTTCAAGCTTGGCACACAGGGAAGTTGTTTCACATCTAACCTTACCAGCTCTGGGAGGTTGTCACCATGAGGAAAATCTGAGAAAAAGGGTTCTTTGAGATTGTTGCTGGAGCAATTCTTGAGTGGAAATTGTCTCCAATCCCCATTCCCACCAGTGTGGGTTCCTGGCCAGATCCTGAGAAACGAGAGTAGCTGTGGCCCAAGGTCCCCAGTCAGGATGGAGCTGACCTCTGGAGAGGCAGAGCTTGGAGTTAGTAGCCTCTTCCCAATCCTGTATTTATCTGCCTGGGTGGTCCTCATTGACCACATCAAGCCTTCAATTTGTAGCTAGGGCTGATGTCTTGAGTGTTCGGTTGTCAGTGAAAATTGTCAGTGCAAGAGGCAGTCCGTCAGGTTTGGGTGGGTCTCTTGTGTTCTTTGAGACTCATCTCAGGAAAAACCAGCTGGGTGTGCCTGGCAGGGCAGCCATGTGAAGGGAGATGGACACAATGGTGGCAGAGTGGCTGGGATGAGGATGGGTAAGTGCAGTGCCATCTCCCCCATCCCCACGATGACTAGTGAGGCAGACACAGTGGTGGGGTTTGTACCCATGAGTCTGGTTTCTGAGGCTGGCTGGTTTTACATTTTCTTGGAAGGGCTTGGAGACAAGGAGTCTGCAAGGAGGGGTCCACGTTTACATCCAGTCCACAGCAGCTGGAAGCAATCCTGAGGGCCAGTTGTAATGAATACAACCGGAGGCTGATCAGATGGGAGTGGTAATCACAGGCACCAGAGGGGGAGTGGGCATCACATGTGGCCCTTGGACTTGGTTATCTTGAAGGTCTTTCCTGCCCCAAGATTATAGAATTTTGCACAAGGCCATGGGCCTTATACCTCTTAACCCTGAGAGTAGGTGCTGTGGGGAGGGCTGTTGCTAAAATCAGAGGTTCTAGAACAGACCTTGGCTCTCCTGCATACTGCCTACATGACTTTGAGTAGTTACTTAATCTTTTCTGTGTCTCATCTCAAGGAGTTTTTTTATATGCCTGGTCCGTTTTCTCCCCACTCCCCACAGCTAACTCCTCTTCTTTCAGGTCTCTTCCTTCAACTTAAAATCATGTCTGAGAAGCCCACCCTGATCACCTCATCTAAGCAGCTTAACTGTTACCAGCTAAGTAGATGTGGGGATTTACTGATTAAAAAAATAGCCAAAGGCATTGATGTTACGAAAACTAAGTTCCATACTGCAGTGTAATGAATTGCTTCATGTGGCCCTTCTAGCCATCCATCGTCCTACATTTTGTGATGTAAATCTAGTGTCTGTGCCTGTTTAGAGCAGGATCCATCCTGAGTCCATCCTTGCTGGAGGATTTGACTCAAGTCACCTCCCATTTTGTGATGTATTGTAAATCCTAGTCTCTGCCAGGAGCTCTGGTGGCATAGTACCTAAGGCATTTATTTGATAGCTAACTAGAAGGTTGGCTGATGGCTGTGAGTTTACTTTTAAAAAAACCTTGTGTCTCTATGTCTGTTCAGGGTAGGCTGTATTTTGAGTCCTGCCTTGCTGGAAGGTATATATGTGCCAGCCTCCCAACCACCACCACCACATGTGAGCGGTTTCCTTGGGAGTTTCGTGAGTTCTGTGAGAGGTTACAATGAAATACTGAACGCTAAGACAGGAAGGAGATAACTGAGGGGAGGAGGAGGAGTTGATGTGAGAGATGATGGAATGGCATGGCAGTTTGGAAAAGATGGACATTTGGGACATCTTTAACCTCTGTCTCATAGGGACCGGCCTTGTGCTGATCTTTTTAACAGAAATTACTCAAGCACATGATTTTTTATAAGGATCACTTCATCCCCCTTTTACAGATAAGGAATTTGAAGCTCAGAGAAGCTTAGTAACTTGCCCAGTTAGTAGATGGAGCTCTGGTAGCATAGTGGCTAAGGCACTTGACTGCTAACCAGAAGGCTGGTGGTTCAAACCCACCAGCCACTCCTCGGAAGGAAGATGGGGCAATCTACTTCTGTAGTGATACTGCCTTGGAAACCCAAGGAGGAGTCACTATGAGTTGGGTCTGACTCGACAGCATATAACAACAACAACAAGAAGATTGAATCCCAGGTAGTCTGGCTCCAGGGTGCACACTGTTAATCAGGGTTCCTTACAGGCAGGCCACAGGAGCAGCCATCTAGTTGGAAAGGGGGCCCTGGAGGCTTGCCTTAAAAGTTACGTGTTCCACCCCTAAGCATTGTAGCTTGCTTAGCCCAGCCTGGAGGAATAGGGTGGGGGCAGGAAGATAACACTGAGAATTGAGATGGGGGAGGTGAGAGCAACCCTAGAAGTGCCCCAGCCACCTTAACAAGGGCCACCCAGAGTCATCCAGTGACAATATGCGCTGGCCTTGGACACAGTAGTCCACCCCTCATGTGGTAGGTGGGAAATGGGCTCTGTGTGGGGCAGTGCAGGCCGGGCCTGAGCTGGGATTCTGGGCTGGTCCCTGCAGCTAAGGCCTCTCTGGACCCAAAAGACAGGGAGGAGGGGACAGAGCAGCAAAAGCACCTGCAGAGCCCTGTGGGTTCAGCCCACAGCCCACACTCGGCCCTTCTCTGACCTCCTGCACCACTCTCCCCTCCACTACTCCAGCCACACGGCTTCTGCACCACCCTGCAAGTTCATTCCTGGCTTCTGCACCACTCTGCAAGTTCATTCCTGCCGCAAGCTCTTCGCCCTGGCTCTTCCTCTGCCTGCCGGAGTTTCCCAGACTGCCCCTCTCTACATGCAGGTCTCCAAAGTCATACCGGCTGAGGCCTCCGGGACTCCCCTGCTAACGTCCCATCCTCTCTGCAGGACCGAGTTTTTATTTGTTCAGAACCTTTATTTTTCGTTAGGAAGCCCTGGTGATGCAGTGGTTAAGTGCTCAGCTGCTAACTGAAGGTTTGATTGTTGGAACCCACTAGCTGCTTTGCAGAAGGCCGTCTGTTGCCACAAGAATTACAGCCCGATGGGGAGCTCTCCTGTGCTCTAGGGTCGCTAGAGCGACCAGTTTATGGGTATTTCTAGTTGAGCTTGCTTATCCACGTTTATTTTCTACCCTCCGCCCAGCTACAATGCACATAGCTGACAGCAGAGATCTTGCTGTCTTGTTTATACCTGTATTTCCAGGACCTAAGAGCAAAACCACCAAACCCCACTGACATCGAGTCAGTTCTGACTCATAGTGCCCCCATTGGGTTTGCAAGGCTGTAAATCTTTACAGAAGTAGATTGCCTCGTCTTCCTCCTGTGGAGCAGCTGGTGGGTTTTGAACCACCAACCTTCTGGTTAGGCAGCAAATGCCTTGCCCATGACGCCACTGGGAGCTCCTGATAACTATAGCCAGTCCTCATTATCGGCAGAGTCTGTATTTGTGAATTTGCCTGTTTGCTAAGATTCACTTGTAACCTAACCCAAAACCACTTTTGGCAGCGGTTTCGTGGGCATCCAAGCACAGAGGGGAAATTGGAGTTGCCTCCGTGCCCCGCATTCCCATATGAGGCCAAGATGAGCTGTGCCTTCCTGGGTCAGCTCTGGTGCGGTAAACAAGTGTCCTTCGCGTGGTCTACTGAGTGCCACGTGGTTTGTTCTGTTTTTGCATTTTTATGCTGTTTGTTGGCAATTCCACTGTTTAAAATGGCCCTCAAGCCCAGTGCTGACGTACTGTCTAGTGTTGCTAAGTGCGAGGAGGCTGCGACGTGCCTTCCGAAGAAAAGGCGTGTGGGAGATAAGTTCTGTCTGGGCACTGGTCAGGGATGTCAGCGTTAACCAGTCAATTAGACAAATGAAATGGGTCCTTAAATAGAAATATACTGCTCCTTTAGCTGGGTGAACAGGAAATGCCTCCCAAGCAGCAGCCCTGCCGGAAGTGAGGGGTGAGGCCCAGGGGAGCAGGAAGGACCGTGGGTGGAGGCGGGGTGCAGGACGTAACTTGGGGCAGGGCACAGCTCGCTGGGGTGGGGGGGCCGTGTGGTTCCCGGTAAGGACTCGATCCCACCCAGGCCCTTTGCTGCGCCCTCTCTGCCGCCCTACCTGTGCAGGAGCTGCCCCTGGGTCCTGCCCTACCCTCCTGGGCCGTTATCTCAGGGGCGACCACTGATGTCTGTCATGCTGAGAGATGTGGACACCTTCCCCCCACCAGTGCAGTGGAGTAAACGCC